TACTGGTTTACTCCATCTCCGTGTGCCATATACTCGGTTGAGACATGGAGGAGGATCGTAAATTAATTGAATTGTTAAATTGCTGAGTTTTGATTAGGCCATTAATATTGAATATTGAATATCGGTGCGTGTGTGTTTGTGATTTGTGCGTGTACCCATTGCAATGAGTGGTGATATGTGCTATTGTGCTCCGTTTTCTGATATATTATATTTATTTATTTATATTTATTTATATATTTGTATATTTATATTTACATATTCATTATTATTATACTTATACATATTTTTATACTTATACTTATACCCAATTTGCATTTTACATATTATTTACAATAAATTCAGTTAGTATTGTGTAATATTGTGTAATATTTTGCATCATTATCTTTCTACTGCTAATTAATGAATAAAGTTAATTGACAGTTATATCTGAAACACTTGGTTGTCTTGTCGAGTGCTGAGTGTATTCATTTTATCTTACCGTACCTTCTTAATATTATGTCTGTTTAGGATAATATAATCTGTCTCATTGCATATTCAACGTAATGGATTTTGTAAATTTATTTGATTTAGCCTCATTGGATGACTGCGTCTATGTGAGATGTATGAATGAGTGTATGGATATGCATGTTGGTGGAATGTACTTCAATGTATCTTGTTCTATTCTTTTTATTTTGTGTCAGTCACGTTCGTCTATATACTATGCTTTACACTTTCTTTACTTTCCTTACTCTCTCTATCTGCCTTTACTTGCCTTAACTTGATTAACTTCTGTAATAGCTCTATTGCTCACTCACTCATTCATTCATTCGCTTATTATCTACAATTATTTATTTAGAGTTATTTGGATTTAAGTACGGTTAATTTTCTTGAGAGGATAGATGATTTTGTCCATTCAAATGCTTGACAGCGCGTGGCTTCTGTTATAAGCACACCATTTGAATTTCATTTCAAATACCCTACTTCTTTGCTTATTTATTTATTTATCTGTTATTCCTTATTTTATTCTTTTACTATGTAATGGTGTGGTGTCTAATTGAACCACGCACCTTATATTTGATTTGTTTTTATTTGTCATATATTTATTATTTACTATCTTTATACATCAATCGGTTATGAATTTTTACCTTCTATTTGCATTTGCATGGACATAATCATTTACAATTTATAATCTATAATTTATAAAGTAGTGGGGATGGAGTCAATAATGTTTACGGTCATATTTAATTAGAATATAACTCACTTGTTGTATTTATCTTATTTTCTTTTACATTATTTTGCATTATACTACATTATGTCAGCTATGTCTGTTAAGCGTTACACACTTTCATTTGCTGTAGTTCCTCAGTTTGTGAATATCTTCAGCTTTTCCTCTCGCATTCAGTATTCATTCATTCATTTATTATTCATTATTCATTTTGATGTTGCCTGATTATAGTTATACATTGATTTGATCTGATTTATTTTGATTTATTTTCTGATTCATATTTCCTTTCTGCCAGTTGCTTGTTGCCTTGCTGCCTTGACTTTATTCTGGTTTTATTTATTCTGTTAACTAATATTATTTGACTGGGTGTTGTCTGAATGGTTCCATGGGTTTTCCTGACTATATGCGTTTCATATTGATTTTGCTTTGGTTTAGGGTCTTATTTTATTTATTTATTCGGCCTCTCATTTCTTGGCGGTTGTTTTCCTTTATCTTCATTGCCTTTTGTATAATTTCTTTCTTTGCGACGTGATCATGCAGTAACGCAGTGCGTCCTGCAATCTGCGCAATCTGCGGGACTTATTCGGGCTGATTTTATGATTTATTATTTTTTATTATTTTTCTAATTATCTTATTGACTTACATCGTGTCAGGCTACTTTATGCGTTTTAACTATAATTATATTCTATCTTATTTATTTTATCACAAACTTATATGATGTTTTATATAGGTAATGTATCTATAATCATAATATTGACTTATTTCTTTATATATTAATTAATTAATGCCTGATGTTGGCCCGTTTGAAGTTTATCTCTGATTCCATTGATTTAGCATAATTATCTTTTCGATTATAGTATTGTATACCAGACTTATCTTTGATGGTAAGTCTGATGGTAAGTACGGTTTCCCAGGATTGCGCGGCAGCACGATGGACAGTTCTGCAGTCGGTAACTGTGTAACTGGTAATTGGCGCGTGGTAGGTGACTACTGCGCGGCAGATAATTTGCCTGTGGATAGCCGTTATGGAGTGAGCGGCCGAGTATCATTGTCTGGTAAACGGAATATTTGTTGCTGGTAATATCCTTGGTACTGCGGTTGATTACCAACTAGGCATAGCTTGCGGCTTATGGTCATCTTTTGTAGGTACATTATCTTTGGTTTTGGTCATTTTGATTCATTTTGATTTGTTCAAACTGTTTTGTTTATGCATTTTCGCTTTTCGCTTATGAGCACTTATATATTCTCTATAATTACTTAATTACTTAATTTGATGGTTTGATGGATAATTGACGATTGATAACCATTATGGAGTGAACTAGGGAATTTTATGAACACTAGGTTCTATCTCTATATGTTTTATACTTTATGGTCTCGCTCTCGCTCTTTTACTCGGCCCGGTTTTCAGTCTTAGGTAACATAGTTTTCGGTGACGCGTGTTTACTCTTCTCTTCTCCGGGCATTGTGCAAATTTGTGCATTATTTACTCGTCTGTGATCTGTGATGTGAAGTGATAACTAAATTAATTATTTAATTCTTCTATTTAAGTATAAATCAAAATTTAATTGGTGCGAAGGTGATTGTGGTGAAATGCGCGCTCCACCGCGATGCATTGTGTTCCATTGCAGTGTATGTGTTTCAAAGTGGTGCTATTTACTCCGTTTTGTGCAAATTATAATATATTATATTATATTATTTATTTTATATTATGGTCATATTTATATTCATGTTTATTACATTCAATTACCTTCTATCTCCGTTCAATTCAATCTATGTATTGAATAAAGTATTGAATATGTTATATTACTATATTATCATATCAGATTTTGGATTATATTCAGTTATTTCAGGTATTTCAGTTACATTAGGTTATACTTAGGCAGTATTTTGCGCTACACTGTAAACTGTACTGTATTGTATTATATAACTCCCTATCTTCTATTCCACTATATTATTATAATTGAGTGAATAAACGAATGGGGTGATTAGCGGTGGATATGGTATATTGAATAAATTAGGTTAAATTAATTAAATGACTTTATAAGTGCTTGTTTTATTTTATTTCACCGTACCTGCCGTATTTACATATTTACATTATTATGTGATGACATGTGTCTATATGCCTTAGTGTAGTTTAATTGGCTTTATTGCATGCTGAACATAATGGATTCAATGGAATTCACTAGAATCTATTAGAATTTGGTACAGTTTGGTTTATATGGATTGGTTGTTTGAATGCATATATTATGTACGTTTCATTGTGCTGCGTTACCTTCATATATATTTTAAGGACAGTTTGATCCTGCGTTTTCTGTTGCATTGTGTTATGAGATGACTTAGGTGTCACTACTATGCTGTGTCTTGGTTATATTAATATATATTAATCCATATACAAATTATACATTATAAATTTAAATTTACATTTACTTAGTCCAGGCTTTGACAATATTGCACTTTCCTACCCATTTTGATATGGTTCAGTTGTCAATAAGTAAGTGAGCGCAGCAATTTTCTTTATACTTTGACAGGAATTGTTGTTCCTGAAGGCGCCCTAATGGAATACTTTGTTTTCCTTCCTTTTAATTGATTGCCGGTTACTTCATTGCTTACTTACTTGGTTGTTACTCAATGCAGCAGAGCTCAACGCAGTGTTGGGTGGTTAATTTAGTTTGGGTGTTGATTATATGCTAATATTTACTATTATACTTCCCTAACTAACTTTCTTTTCTACTCTTTTCTATTCTCTCTGCTACAGCTGCTTGTTTTACCGCTCTCTTGCCAATGGCAATTTTACTTCTACATTATCTTACTCGTGCGATAGGATTGGAGTCTGAGCTTGTTTCTTACACTTTCGTTCTTCACCTGGCTAGGGAGTGGCTACTCTATGTGCCTACTTTCTTCATGGGCATTCTGCATGCCTCCTTTTACCTGCTTGGGTTGTTTGAACGTTCGATGCTATGCTTTCTGGGAGCGGTGTGTGTGTGGCTGGAGTATGTATGGGACAAGTCATCGAGGGTTGCAGCGTACCAAGACATGGCGCGGTCAGCCGGGTAAAGGACTTCCCGGTTCCTGATCGTGGCCGAAGAGAAAGCTTCCTGACCTCGCTTATGGCAGGCAGGTGAAGACACGGCCCGATCACCCGTTGAGCAGGAGCTCCGGTGCCGGTCGTGGTTGAAGAAGAAGCCCTGTCTTCGCATTGCAAGCAGGCGGAAGTCATGGCGCGATCACCCGTTGAGCAGGGGCTCCGGTTCCTGATCGTGGCCGAAGAGAAAGTTTCCTGGCCTCGCTAATGGCAGGCAGGTGAAGTAGGGGCGCGATCACCCGTTGAGCAGGAGCTCCGGTTCCTGGTCGTGGCCGAAGAGAAAGCTCCCTGACCTCGCTTATGGCAGGCTGGTGAAGATACGGCCCGATCACCCGATGAGTGGGAAAGTCCTCCGGTGCCGATCGTGGTTGAAGAAAAATGGCCTGTCCTCGTGGAAGGACAGGTGGGCGTGATGACTGCAAGGAAAAGCCACATCTTCATTATCAATCTACCATGGTGGACGAAGATTGGAGCGATCAACCGGGAGATACGAAGTCCCGGGTCCTGATCGTGACCGAAGAGAAAGTTCCTGGCCTTGCTAATGGCAGGCAGGTGAAGTAGGGGCGCGATCACCCGTTGAGTGGGAATCTTCCGGTTCCTGATCGTGGCCGAAGAGAAAGTTTCCTGGCCTCGCTAATGGCAGGCAGGTGAAGACACGGCCCGATCACCCGATGAGTGGGAAAGTCCTCCGGTGCCGATCGTGGTTGAAGAAAAATGGCCTGTCCTCGTGGAAGGACAGGTGGGCGTGATGACTGCAAGGAAAAGCCACATCTTCATTATCAACCTACCATGGTGGACGAAGATTGGGGCGATCAACCGGGAGATACGAAGTCCCGGGTCCTGATCGTGACCGAAGAGAAAGTTCCTGGCCTTGCTAATGGCAGGCAGGTGAAGTAGGGGCGCGATCACCCGTTGAGTGGGAATCCTCCGGTTCCTGATCGTGGCCGAAGAAAAATCCTGTGCTTTCTTGTACAGGTTGAAACATCCTACCGCTAGATCGGAGGTGTGACGGCGTGGATCCTCAACCCCCCGTGGTTGCCTAGCGCACGGCGGATTGAGGTGAGACGAAAGCGCAAATGTAAGCTAGGGAGCAGAAGCGCCGTTGCGGCTATCGTCGGTACATCTGGGATATCCCCAAAGGATGAAAGGGTACCGACGGCCTACGTTAGGGAAGAGGTTTTTAGTGGGTAGTATATCAGGCCGCGGACGCCCCTTCTGGGCGCCGCTGGGTCGCCCCTTCTGGGCTGTGACCCTTTTCCTTTGTGCTCGCCCTTCAGGGTTGGGCTGTCAGGTTGCCCCTTCTGGGCTGCCTCTTTGGGTTTGCCCCCACCAAATGGGTGCCAGGCCCCCCTTCAGGGGATATGAGTCCCACACTGCCCGGGCCCCCTCTAGCCGAATAGACGAACAGGGGATAACCTGCGCGTGCGTAAATGCATTTTCCTCTTCTGTCAACCAAAAAAAAAAAAAAAAAAAAAAAAAGGGTTAGGTTAGGTTAGGTTAGGGTTAGGTTAGGTTAGGTTAGGTTAGGGTTAGGTTAGGTTAGGTTAGGGTTAGGTTAGGTTAGGTTAGGTTAGGTTAGGGTTAGGTTAGGGTTAGGTTAGGTTAGGTTTAGGTTAGGTTAGGTTAGGTTAGGTTAGGTTAGGTTAGGTTAGGTTAGGTTAGGTTAGGTTAGGTTAGGTTAGGGTTAGGTTAGGGTTAGGTTAGGGTTAGGTTAGGGTTAGGTTAGGGTTAGGTTAGGTTAGGTTAGGTTAGGTTAGGTTAGGTTAGGTTAGGTTAGGTTAGGGTTAGGTTAGGTTAGGTTAGGGTTAGGTTAGGTTAGGTTAGGTTAGGTTAGGTTAGGTTAGGTTAGGGGTAGGTTAGGTTGGAGTCCGGTCGCGATCGTGGAGGAGTGTGGACGTGCCTCGGCATCGCTCCTGGAAATTTTTCGAAGAAATTTTTAATTCGGATATAATTTGGTCAATTTGTAGTTCATAAGCATCTAGAGGTGGAAAAATTAAAATAATTTAATAAATACCTATTAGTTTATAAAGTTTTCATAACTTATTTTGGAATATTAAGATGTGTAAACATTAGTAACCTCTTGAGTTTGAAGCAAGAAATTGAAAAATTGAAAAGAAACGGACAGATTAACAGAAAAAGGTAAGTGGCTGCAATATACTAATTGTTTAAACTAAAACAAAGGTTTTGAGATATATTTTAAATGGTAAAAATTACTAATAAATATTTACTTAAGTTAAATTTATCTAAACGGTAGGAACGTCCCAAGAAGTGTCGCACAGATAAAAATTTACAATTTCACAAAATATATAGAGCATAGGCAAAAATGGAATGTTTAAACAAATAACGGGAAGTAGAATAGAGGTACAACCAATAAAATGCTTTAGCTTAAACAAATTCTAGAAGCAAACTAGTTAAAATTCTGTAAAAGTTGAAAAATTTCTCAAAAGGATATCAACTAGTGGAAAATTAATAAATAGATTAAATTACATTCTTTCTTAATACTTTAAACAGAAATAAATAACCTAGGGGTGGATAGGATAAACTTGACAGGAGGAAAAGCATAGAAATACCTTAAAAATACTAAGGAAATGGGAAAGAGTGGTTAAAAGGTTACAAAACCTGTCATGATATTTAGTTCAAAGGCCTAAATTAAAACATACGTTTTATGATAAAAAAAGGACTAAATACTCTTAACTGATATATACGCAAAGGTAAACAGGGGGGGATGTTCACAAATAATTCGACAATAAAGACAATATAAATAAATTCCACCAAATATAAGTAACGGCTCAACAGGTGTTGTACTGCAAGTTACCAAAATATATAACTCTTATAAAATATAGGTTTATACCGAATTGTTTAACAAATAGTCCTATGCTAAATATAGTGTATCAGTTATACTGTGACACAGATAAAATAAATTTGAAGTGTCAAAGAATAACTGGAAGTTAAAGTATAAAGGGTTACGCGATAACTTCAAAAACAGGATATAATAGATAAAATAAAAATTGTATATGCAAATATATAGTAAAAGAGTGATAATAAACCTGTTAGCAACCCACATTTAATCTAAAAACAGAGATGATTAAAAAAAATATAAATAAATCTAGAGGTAAAGAAAAATTTTAGGTTAATAGGTATGAAACCTGCCAACATATAAAGGACAAAGATGCCCAATTATTATATACCTTTATCTATTAAACTATAAACCCTAGGAACAGGCATAAATACGTAAATCGACATGAGAAGGTGTGCACTGCTGAATAAATTATCAAAAACTATAAATAATAAATCTATGTCAGATATTAAATGACTTATAACGTAGTATAGGGAAAAATTAGTAAAACTATGAAATATTTTGAGTACACAGCATGCTCCAAGTAAAACTGGTAACTTGAATGAAAATGTTACGGTAGGATACCTCTGTATTGACAGTCCAGAAATTGGTATAATTATTTTCACTCAGTTCAAGTTCTACGGTATGAAATTAATTCTAGGAGTATATTAAATAAATAATAGAGAACCGATAACAACACTAAGCCAGTGCGCTGTCAACAGATCAGCGCAAATACCGAGGGCATTGACATACAGCCTTATATGTTCCAGTTTAAGCTAGCTACATATATTCCCTACGTCGAAACAGGCTATCTTCCTTGCCAAGGATTTTTTAGGAGTAGATAATGCTTAAAACAACTATAAAAGTTTAAAATATGCAATGAAAATAGCACTAGCAAGGTAGGTCACAGTAACTCCTGAAATAATAAAACTTATGATACCATTACTAAAGAGCGTAGAAAAAGTACTGATATGACCAAATGATCAACATATGAGAAACCGTAGAAATTGTGGTGGGGAAGTATAATAGTTATGTTATAAGCATCGGAAACACCACAGCGTTCAGACTATAAAATATATAAAATATAAATATGCTTGAGGATAACAGACGTGTAAATAAGATCATTACTAAATTATATAGCCAAACCTAGACCTACGTAGGATGAAATAGCTAATTAAGAAACCTAAATTACCTAAATATTATAGATAACTGTATATAGGACATAGTTATGATAAATCTGGTAAAATAAAATACTATACGTCATCAAACATGTTAAGGGACTGACAATACTAGTCTTTTAAGCAATTACCCAAGTCTTTCTATTAAGTTACATAGTTTATAAACAAATTAAGGAATAATATAAGAAATCAGGTGCCGCTCTACTCTTTGTATTGATAAGACACCACAACAAGGAAGCCCTTGAAATAAATATAAGGAGTGCATATTGAGAAGATCCGAGGTAGACAAGACCAGATTATTAAATTAATATATATATTCCAACTAAGAAATAAACTCCTCAACAGTAACATACCAAAAGCACAGAAAAGACACTCACTATATTCCACATGATGATGATATAAAATAAAATAAATTTAACTATAAGGCACTACACTCGAATTTTGAATATCAACTTATTTAAATATTTAACCCACAATCAGAGCAACACATGTCAAATAAAGTAGATACACAAATCAAATGTCTGGGTAGTAATTAAGATAAACTAATCGACGCATTTAACCACGCACGTCACTACGCAAGAAATGAAAAGTGAATGAATACTGCGTAATAGCGACATGCGACGCTAAATACGATAGAATGGAAATTATCTGCACACAGCACAACACGGAATTATTTCAAGGCGTACGAAAATATATTACCGCAAATAAAGACACTGATAAAGAGCATTAATCAAAAGAAAAGACAGATATTACGATTTATAAGTAACACGTGTGCGGTGCATCGCGCAAATAGTAACGCCGCCATGTTAAAACTCTTAACAATGAATGGGCCCTTGACAAGTAGTGAGGGGTTCAACCATGTAAAAGAAAAACAAACAAGAGAGTAAAATATTGAAATAAGGTGTATCAAACAAATTCTGTTATGAAAATTTCTTACTCCACGATTAAATTGAGCGATCCGGACCCGTCTTTTAATACACACATCCCATCCTTTCCCCCTTTTTCCTGTTTTCCTTATTCCTACCCTTTTCCCAACCGAAACCGACAGCTAGTCCCAGCTTAAGGTGTGAGGCACCGTGCCGATGGGCTCGTGGCTACAGGGACGTAAATTGTGTAGCCGCAAACGGTCCCTCGGGGGCACCGGCCGTCCCCCCCGAGTATTTAGGCTTATTCAGACAAGGCGGCTCTGCCTGAATGGACGTTTATTTCCGACCAGCTCGTGGGACCCTAATGGAATCATTTATTAAACCAAACAACAAAAACATAAAATCACAAAAAAATAAAACCGGACAGGAACAATATACGACGACTATTGGCAAGAAAGAGGACATGATTAAACCTAACGATAGGAAAGTACGAGACGATGTATACAAAGTAATTGTAGGAGAAGGCACAGAAAAAATAGAGAGAGTAAAAATAACGGATGATATTAAACTTAATAAAACGAACAAAGTCTTTGATTTCAAATCCGCGTTTCGACCGACTAGGACACTGTCTAGAAGCCCGACCAGAAAGAGCGGCGAGATTACAGCCGATGTAGATTTAACCGGGGACGAAGACGAAAATGTGTTCTCAGATACAAGTTCGGCCATGGGAAACATGCCGAAAACCGATGCTAGCAATAAGCAAAAAGAGAGCGAAACGGAAAAAGAAAGCAAGAATGTAGGGGGCCTGAATGCTGCATTGATGGCGATAGACCAAATACTTGGGATGGTTAAAAGCTCAAACGATTTAGTAAATAACTACCTACTTAAAATCGCTGAGGGTAGTCCAATGGTCGCCCAAATAAGTTCTGATATGGGGGTAAACCTTATTAAAACCAGGGATTTGATCAAAGAGGCGATAATATCATACAAAGAGGAAAAATCAAAACAGGAGGAATACACGAAGAGAGAAGAAAAAAGAACAATACAGATACTAGAAAGTCTAGATAAGATAGGAAAAAGACAAAATATCCTTGATACAAGAAACGAGATCACGGAGAATTTAAACAAGAGGAAGAACGTGACGCCTCCTGAAATGGAAGCGACGATAAAAAGGACACGTACTACAAATAAAGAAACGAGGAGTAAACCCATGATTAGAAGCATACAAATCATCAAAAACAGTGAGGGTGCCTCCTCGGATTCAGATTGGGAAACGGTGGGAACCAAAAGAAGGAAACAGCCAAATGAGAAAATAAAAAACCTAAACACAGGAAATAACACAACACCGTATAATGATACAAATAGAAAACGTAGTATAACTACAGCCGTCAAGAGAAATGAGGCTATAGCTATTAGCGTGAACAAAGAGATGACATATGCACAAGCTACAAAGGAATTAAAAGAAAAAATGGGTAACAATGTAGAAGGAGTTAAAAGAATAAGGCACACGAGAACCGGGGATATCTTAATAGAATTTGATAGAGAGACTGATAGCACCGATTTTCACAATAAAGTAAAGTCTGTTATGGGCGAAGATGCCAAAGTAAGAAGACTGGTGCCTAAGGTCACTATCGAGGTACTGGATATTGATCCGGGAGCAGATAAGGATGAGATTGTAGAATGTATTTCGATAAGTACAGGAGTTGAAAAGGATAGCATTAAATGCAAAAATATAAGGAGTTCGTTTGCAGGAACACAAACTGCGATTATAGAGGGTCCAGGTGGCATAGGAAAATTACTTATCGAAAATAGAATTAAGATCGGGTGGGTTTATTGTAGAGTTAGACTACTGCCGAGCATTATCAGATGCTTCAAATGCCATAATTTCGGGCATTTAGCAACAAGATGTGCGGCAGTTGAAGGAGAGGCTGTTGTATGCAGGAGATGTGGCGAAAACTCGCACGCTATGTCGGAATGCAAGGCCGAGAAGGCGAGTTGCAGATTATGTGCGCAGAAGGGAATTGTAGGTAGCGAATTAAACCATATCGCAGGCTCATTAAGGTGTAGACAATATAAGGAAGCAATAAGCGGAGCAATTAGGGTAAACAAAATTCAGTCTTAAACTATTGCAAATAAACCTAAATAAGTGTAAACTAGCGCAGGATTTACTCGAGAAAACGGTAAATTCCCTAAATCCGGATATAGTGCTAATTACGGAACAAAATAGGAACAAAAGTAATTGGTTTAGCGATAGTAAAGGAGATGCTGCGATATGGGTGACGAACCAGGGCGCACAGAAAGGTCAAACTATTAATATGGTGAAACAAGGGATAGGCATGGTGGCTATAAATTTCAACAATTTTTTAATTATTAGTGAATATATTTCGCCTAACATCGACAGTAATACGGTAGATGATAGGTTGGACGTGATAACCGAGGCTATTAAGCTTAAAAAATGGAATGGCGTCCTCCTGGCTGGCGACTTCAACGGAAAGTCTCCCGTTTGGGGCAGCAATAACTGGAACCCTAGAGGGAAAAAATTATTAGAATATTTACTAAGCGAGAATCTGTCACCGATTTATACAGTGGGGGGAAATACATGCACTAGAGGTAACGGTTCAAAGATAGACTTACTTGTGACAAGTATAAACCTCTGCTACAGTGTGAAAGTTAGTAAAATATTGGACGAGTTTACAGGCTCAGATCATCTGTATCTATGGCATGATGTAGACATTGAGAAACCTGAAACAAATTTAGAAATTAATAAGAAGAGTAATAAGAAGTTAATAATAAATAAGGGTAGGGACTGTATAGATAAAAGAAGTATTGATCCAAAAAAATACACAGATAGGTTTCTAGAGAAATTTGGAGACAGGGAAAATGATACATATGTTATTGGACAGACAGTAAATGATATTAAGGAAGTGCTGGTAGAAATACAAAAAATAGGAAATAGCTGCAAAAAAAGAAACATTATTCGACCTGGTAGGTATCCAGTTTACTGGTGGACGCCCGAAGTATCCGACCAAAGAAAAATAACAAATAAACTAAGGAGAAAAGTCACAAGATCTAGGAGAAAACAAAATATTCAAGAGATAGAGATAGCGTTAAAGGAATTTAAAATAGCTAAGAAAGAGTTAAATAGGATAATTAGAAACTCAAAGAGAGAAAGCTTAGAAAATTTTATTAAAAATATTGATAACGATATGTGGGGCAAACCTTATAAAATGATCATAAAGCAAATTAAACCAAGTGCGCCACCAGTTAAGTTGGATCTCGACCAGATTAAAAAGGTAATTCAAGGGCTGTTCATGTTAAAACCCCCAAACCAGGGGATGGTAGCGGCAATGTTACCTGGAAACGAAATCGGGGATAACTTACAAAATAACGTGAGCATAATAGACGATGAAAATGAAGATGAAATTACGGTAGATGAGGTAGTCGCGGCGTGCAAGAAAATAGCTGTCAAAAAAGCTCCGGGCCCGGACGGGATCCCGGCAGCGGTTGCAAAAAAGATAGGTTTGGGTGCGATTACCTTTTGGAAAGAGCTGCTCAACGCGTGTCTGAGGCTGGGTTACTGGCCCGTTGAGTGGAAGACGACCAGGCTCGTCTTACTCCCGAAGGGTAAACCTGCAAATAAAGGAAATGATAAGATAAACGAGATAAATCCATCGGACTTTAGACCGCTATGTATCGCGTCTAATATAGCAAAGATTTTCGAACAAATAATAAAAGTTAGACTTTTGGAAGCAATTAAAAAGGATGATTTTTCGCCACACCAGTTTGGGTTCAGGAAAGGACTGAGTACAATCCATGCTATGGACAGGGTGGTTAAATTATGGGATCAAGCCAAGAAAGAGGGCAGGCACTGTTTATTGATTCTGCTTGATGTCAAAAACGCGTTTAATTCCCTACGATGGGATAGTGTAATCGAGGAGATGAAACGGAGGAAATTCCCACGGAAAATAATTAAATTGATAAGATCTTACCTACATGATCGGTGGATTGTGATAGGTACTGACGACATGAAAGAGAAAATACAAGTCCACGGAGGAGTTCCACAGGGATCTATAATAGGTCCATTCATGTGGAATTTAGTCTATGACGGTCTGTTAAAAATCAAGCTCCGAAGAGACGTTTTCCTGGTCGCATTTGCAGACGATATAGGCATTATTATCATTGACGATGACCTAGAAAGGATGGAATATACTGCCAATGCTACTATTAAGGATATGGTCCAATGGTATGAGAGTGAAGGTTTGGATCTTGCACCTCAAAAATCCGAGACATTACTACTAACGGGTAGAAAACACCCACAAGGGATCCCGGTTTACATTGGTGAAAATCAGATCCCGGTGCGCAGAAAAGCGAGATACTTAGGTGTAATCTTTGAATACAACCAAGTATTCAAAGAACATCTGAAAACAGCCACCGATAAAGCTAGTAAATATGCCATGCACTTAAGTCTTCTTATGCCAAATATTAAAGGTGCAGGAACTAAGGCTAGGAAACTGTACTACAGTGTAGTTAATTCAGTTATTATGTACGGGGCTCCAATTTGGGCTAGAGCTTTGTCTTACAAAATGAACATAAAAACGTTGAGAGATGCTCAAAGACAGCCACTAAGCAGAATTTGTAGAGCTTACAGAACAGTGTCAACGGAAGTCCTATGCATTATAACTGGAAAAATACCATGGGATTATACAGCTAAAGAAGCGGAAGAGATCTATAGAAAAATCCAAGAATTAAAAGAAAGAAGAAAAAAGAAAGAAGGAAGTAATACACAAAATAATGAGGAAACGTCAGAGAGAGAAGAAAAAGGAAAAATTAAAGAAAACGTACATAAAGAAACTATGAGGATATGGCAACAAGAGTGGACAAGTCATACCAAGGGAAGATGGACCAACATGGTTATCCCAGATATAGAAAAATGGTATTGTGATGGACCACCTCCTCTGGATTTCTACACAGTGCAAGCGTTGACCGGTCACGGGTGCTTCGGCACTTACTTGCACAAGATTGGTAAAGAGAACTCGGCCAGTTGCTGGTTTTGCGACAACCCAAACGACGATGTAAAGCACACCATCTTTCAGTGTCCGAGGTGGAACGTCGAGAGAAATACACTCATACGGGATATATATCCTGAAGTGTGGGACGTCAGCAATATGGCTAACCTATTGAAAAAAAAGGATACTAATTACTATGTGAGGCAGTTTTGCATAAATGTAATAAGGGAAAAAGAAAAATGGGAGAAAATGTATAGAGAACAGATTAGACGCGATATTAAAAGAAAAATGAGAGCAGAAGCAATAGATGAAGTAGAAATTATACAAGCATAAAACATAAGACAGACACGAACCAGATTGGTGGGTGAAACATTATCCCAGAATACAATATCATATCAAATATAAATACTCGCATGGCCGCCAGAGTCCGTAATACTGCGGCATATTTTCAGAATATCGAATCTAAAATATAAACATTATGTTATCTATTTATGAAAAGTAAGCAGGGAATTAAATAATACAGTAATACTACCTTTGCTTAATTATAAAAAGGATGAAAACTGTATATACGTACCTTAGATTGTGGAGACGAGTACCCCGTTATTGTGGGCATGGGCTCATGAATTCCTACTCCGGGGGTTACAAATCACAAACCGCTGGTGGATGACAAACCTACAGATATAGTTGTATTTTGTTTTTACAGATTAACCAAGCAAATTTTTTACATACATGACTAAGTTCTATTTACTAAAAACGGTCTAGTTACTGTTTCTTATTATCACTATTACTATTATTTATTACTTATTTATTATTTATTGTATTCACTATTTTATTTTTACTTACTATACTATTTATTTAATCCATTTTATCATTTATTTATTTATTTTAGCTTATTTATTTATTTATTTTAGCATATTAATTTATTCTGATGATGTTTTATACGTATGACCAATACAACAAATTTCTAATAGCTTACCCACCAAATACTGGATGAAAACAGAATGCAATAGAAGCGTGGCTCAGCAAGTCATGACTTCGCATATATGAGTACGCTGAGAGGGTATACTGCAAATATGCCACAGATACTAGCATGTTTTTAAACTCGTTTATCACGTTAATCTAAAATATAAAGTTACAAGTCTATTAGTAATAAGACACAAGAACTATATGCAATATATACACCTTGGAGCACAGAAATATTAAGGCTTAACTGTATTAGTAGCAAAGCTAAAACGCTACGACAAAGGTAGTGAAAACGATAAGGACCAAAACGGGCCAGTGGCACAGTATGCTTACACATTAGTGGAGTGGCATTCCTATGGGGGGCGTACTTAAACCTGTCATAGGAGTCGACACCGCATTCCAGGTAACAGCTGGGCTGTATAACCTATATGGTGCGATCGTGGGAAGATTGGATTTCCAGAGTTGATACGAAATAAATAAATAGCGTATGAAGGAATAAGACAAAAGTACAGGACGAATAAATATCGGAAACTCGTACATATATATTTAAATAGTAATAAATACCTGGAAATACCTGGAAAACAGACTGAAATTGTATTACATTATAGCACTAGTGCTCCATTATAAACAATTCTGTGTATTGGATACAATGCACAGAGGCGGTTTCCTTGGGTACTATTAATGCCATATATATATGTCAAATGATTGTTAATTACAATTATATTACTGAAAATAATACACTTGTATGGAGAGGTGATGGATTCTCGCGTGTCCGCCATGACGTTAGTTTAGTCATAGAATATAACGTAGGGTGAGCACCATGCCTATCCTAATTTCAGCACCCATGAAGCAGACAGCTCAATAGAAAGGGCACTCAACTATGTCCGGGGAACGCAGGAAATATAGACGGCCGACCTATTGGCCATTATATATACGAGTCTAACGTTGACTAATTAGATAGGAGATAGACTATCGATGTAGTTAAAATAAGATAACCTGCCAATTTTTCTACTATAGCGGGCTGTCGGTGTTATTCATATAAAATACTGAATACTGATTAAAAATCTAGGCTAGTAAATATCGTAAATGTAGAAAGGGTAAAATGCACCAAGAAGTAGGTGGGGCCAAATAACCTACAATTATAAGTTATAATCCGAGATTAAAGGAGATGCAATATGCTAGGTGGAAATCTTTTATAAAAATATGCCGTATTTCTAACGACATATCATCCAGTGTGATACGGAGATAGGGTTAGACTGTTTTATATATATATCATGTCCTCTAGGTGTAGTAATTATGGAATAGTATAGGTAAAGGACTAGACTGATAGATATAGGGCGACACATACGGATAGGATGAAGTACTGCCTAAAAAAGGCCTTTCCGTCCTATTTCCGGTCGCATTAAAATTTTGGTAAGTACGAGGAGGGGGTTTTTAGTGGGTATACGCTAGTCGGAGTCCCACACTACCGGGTTTGCACTTTCCCACCCGGTGTGCATAAAGCATTTTCCCCCTCCTCGCCAAAAAAAAAAAAAAAGGGGTAGGTTAGGTTAGGTTAGGTTAGGTTAGGTTAGGTTAGGGTTAGGTTAGGTTAGGTTAGGTTAGGTTAGGTTAGGTTAGGTTAGGTTAGGTTGGTGGGGTGGTCCTCACCACGGGTCGAGGCGCTGGCGGCTCGCCCCCTGCAGTGTTACCGCTGCCTGGAGACGGGTCATGTCAGGCAGCGGTGCCCCTGCGGGGGTCGATCGGTCGGATCGCTGCTTTAATTGCGGCGATCCTAACCATCGGGCCAGCGCCTGCACGGCCCCTCCGCGGTGCCCCCTGTGTACTGATTCAGGGCGGCCCGCGGGGCACAGGATGGGGGCCAGGGGATGCCCCTCGGTCTCCTCCAACAAAGGGGGGAAGAAGCGCGCGGCGGTGAAGGCGCCGACGGCGAGGACGGGCACGAAGCAGTCGGCTGCTTCGTCGACTGGGGCAGCGGGCCCCAGCAACGAGGGAGCAGCGGTGGAGGCCGCAGGAATGGACACCTCCAATGGGGCCTAGGGGTCCATTCCTGCAGGCAAATGTCAACCACTCGGTCGGGGCACAGGACCTTCTGGTCCAAACCCTGGCCGAGTGGAAGATCGAGGTCGCGGTGGTGGCGGAGCCGCACCGAGTCCCGGACCGGCATGACTGGTTCGCGGACGAGGGGGGCTCCGTCGCCATCGTCCTGGGAGGGACGCGGTTTCCCCCGCCCGCCGACGTACTGGTGAGGGGGCGGGGGTTCGTCGGGGTCGACTGGGGGGGCGTCGCGGTGGTGGGCGTTTACGCACCGCCTAGCTGGACCCGCCTCGAGTTCGAGGAGTGCCTAGACCGGGTGGGGAGCTTCATCTCCAGCTTCCCCGCCCGGCAGGCACTGGTCCTCGGGGACTTTAACTCCAAAGCCGAAGCCTGGGGGTCCCCGAGGACCGACGTGAGGGGCAGGGCGGTGCTCGATTGGGCGGCAAGCGTGGGGCTCCTGCTTCTGAACAGGGGCTCCGCCAGCACCTGCGTTCGGGCCCAGGGGGAGTCCATTGTGGATTTAAGTTGGGCGTCCCCTGGGATCGGGCGCAGGGTGCGGGGTTGGAGAGTGGCGATGAGGGAGACGTTGAGTGACCACCGGTATATCCGGTTCAGCGTCTCTCTCCCCACCTCCTGCCGCCCGACGCGTGGCGCACCACCGCGTCGCTGGGTGCTGAGGCGGATGGACAAGGACCTGCTGATGGCAGCGGCCCTCGTCGTGGCCTGGCCACCTCTTCCGGCCGGGCCTGTCGCGGACATTGAGGGGGAGGCTGAGTGGTTCCGGGGGGCGATGACCGCAATCTGCGACACCGCCATGCCCCGGGCCTCTCGTCTGCCCCCCCGGAGGGCGGTGTACTGGTGGTCGGGCGACATTGAGGACATTCGGTCCGAATGTCAGCACGCCCGGCGCCAGTGGCAGCGCGCCCGAAGGGTACGGGTCCGCGACCCGGCGAGGGAGGAATTGCTGAGGGGCACGTACCGGGTCTTCGTAGCGGCCCTGAGGCAGGCCATCAGGGACGCGAAGTCCCGGGCACGGAAGGAGCTCCAGGGCTCTCTCGACAAGGATCCCTGGGGGCGTCCGTACCGCATGGTGATGGGCAAGCTTCGCCCATGGGCGCCCCCGGTGTCGGAGAGCCTGGACCCCGAATTGCTCGGGCGGGTGGTGGACACCCTCTTTCCCCGATCGGAGGAGGAGCCACGCCCGCGCGAGCAGCCGGCGGAGCCAGTCGCCTGGTCCGCCGATTTGGAGGTCACCGAGGGGGAACTCGCCGGGGCCATCAAGAAGCTCGGGGCGAAAAACACCGCTCCGGGCCCTGATGGTATACCCGGCCGTGCCTGGGTCATCGCGTCGGGGGTCCTGGGTCCGAGGTTGATCCGCCTCTTTAGCGCCGCGTTGGAACGGGGAGTTTTTCCCGCGTTGTGGAAGGAGGGGCGGCTGGTTCTGCTTCGCAAAGAAGGTCGGCCCGCGGACTCCCCCTCCGCGTACCGGCCCATCGTGCTGTTGGACGAGGTGGGCAAGCTCTTCGAGCATATTATTGCCGAACGCCTCGCCCACCACCTGTCGAGCGTGGGTCCCGATCTGGCCGACACCCAGTTCGGGTTTCGCGAGGGTCGCAGCACCATCGACGCCATTCAGCGGGTGCGCACCCTCGCGGAGTGGGCCACGTCCCGGGGCGGGGTGGCGCTTGGCGTCTCGTTGGATGTGACCAATGCGTTCAACACCCTGCCCCATGGGGCGATACGGGGGGCGTTGGTTCGTCACAACGTCCCCCCGTATCTGCGGGGGATAATCGGGGCCTTCCTGGACGGCAGGTGGATTTGCTACGTGGGCCGGGACGGTACAGTGCATTGGAGGGAAGTGGACCGCGGGGTGCCCCAGGGTTCCAAAATGGGTCCTCCCCTATGGAACCTGGGATACAACCCGACCCAGGAGGTGGATCTCCCGCCCGGGGTGTGGTCAACTATCTTCGCAGATGATTATTTCATTCTGGCCACCGGGCGGGACTGGGAGCGGACCAGCCGCCGTGCCGAGGATGCGGTGGCACGCGTCCATGACGCGATCCGGGAGTTGGGTCTGGAGCTGGCTCCCCACAAGACCGAGGCTATGTGGTTCTTCGAGCCTCGACGTGGGGTAGCCCCTCCGACCGGGCTCTGGCTCGGGGTAGGAGGGTGCCGGATCGAGATCGGCCGAGGTCTCCGATACCTCGGTCTGTATCTCGATAGCCACTGGCGGTTCGATACGCACTTCGACCGTCTGGCTCCCCGATTGGATAGGGTGGCGGCCGCTCTTGGCCGCCTTTTACCCAACCTCGGGGGGCCGGGTGTGAGGGTTC